AAAAAAAAAAGTGATCAATAAACAAAGCCTCCAAAATGCAGACCGAAGAGACTGGACTGCATCCTGCAAAGTTAGTGTTTCTCAAATGGAGTAGAGGTTTCTGGGTATTTGAAATACACAGACTTCCTTCACCATCCACTCCGAAAGGGAAGGTGTCCTCACCCTGCCCACTTTTTAAAATTTATTTATTTATTTTAGTAACAGGGTCTCGCTTTGTTGCTCCGGCTAGAGTGCAGTGGTGCAAACATAGCTCACTATAACCTCAAATTCTTGGGCTCAAATGATCCTCCTGCCCAGTCTCCCAAGTAGTTGGGGCTACAGGTGTGCACCACCACACCCAGTTAATTTTTTAATTTTTTTGTAGAGATGGGGGTCTCACTATGTTGCCCAGGCTGGTCTCAAGCTCCTGGCCTCAAGAAACACTCCAACCCGAGCCTCCCAAAGTGCTGGGATCACAGGTGTGAGCCACTGCACCCGGCCCCCTGCCCACTTTAAGAATCTGTATGCGATGAGACTGTTCTTGAGGGACACGAGTCTGGAGGCAGGAAAAAAGTTGCCAACCATTGCTGTCACAGGGCCTGTGGGAGCAGAGGGGTAGATGAAAGCAGGAGAAAAATCTATGGATGTGGTGGGAAGGCTTGGTAGGGAGGAGGTGCCGGGTGGGGCAAAGAGGTGGCCAGACAGAGCCCCTAGAGGTGTTCTTGACACAGGATGATCACGTGCTGTCCCCACCTTCGAGGGATGGTCCCCAGAGGCCTCCCTAACCTGCTCTGAAGAAAGTAAATACTCCACACAATCCATCGTTGAATAGTTTATTCATTTGTTTTGTTCACAGCTGTGTCTAGGAAGGTGCCTGGCAGGCGTTTGAAGCAAGGCTGGAAGGAGCAAATGTTCTCCAAGTGCTCAGTCTCAGGGGAGGCTCACCAGGTACAGACCCGCAAGGATTACCCTTCCCACGTGGGAAAGGCTGCTGTGCAGATTAAACAAGATCATGTACATGAAAGACCTGGAGGCTTAATAAACTCAGATTCAAAATGTGGGAAGAGAGAAGCTGGGTGAGGGGGGTTGGGGTGAGAGGAGGTTGGCTGAGGAGTCACACAGGGGGACCGCTAGGGACAGCCCCACGGGAAACCTTCAGGGGTCTTCTGGGAACCCCCAACAGGTTCTGCACGGCTGACACCCCAGCGGGCTGGCAGGAATTTGCCCTGGTGACCTCCCCAGGCACACTGCTGTCACCATGGCGACCAGCCACAAAACAAGCGGCCTGATTGTCCCTGCTCAGCGGGGCAGGTGAAACCCTGGCCACGTGACCGATACTGGGCCAGGTGCGGCTGTGGGACACCTGCCACCTCCCCACCTTAACCCATTCGATGCCACCGCCACCAGGGCGCAGTGTCCCTGCCGCCGCGGGCCGCACCCCTTTAGCCCTAGGTCCCCAGCCTGAAGGGTGTTGACAGACAAAATACCCGGAGCACTGCACTAGGAGTCAGCAAAAGAAGAAATCCAGGCAGGAATGTGGGCTGGGGCACGCACTGGCTGAGTTGGAGCTGGTTTACTTCACCTTCCTCATCAGCAAAATAAGGACGGTGCCCTCCCACTTCCCAGGAACACGGATGTGGAAGTGTAGACTCCACCTCCTCACAGAGGGGGTCCCCGGTTCTCCTCCCTCCAGAAGGAGGCTTGACACTCCCCACCCAATAGCCATGGCCTGTTTCCAACAAGCTGGGGAGGGTGGGCAACCCCCAGGACGACCCCTCCACGAGACACCAATACCAGATAGCAACGACCTGTCCCCTGCCCCCACTACTTTCTCTGGAATGTTCAAGTGGAAACCTCAAGCTGACTGGTTTTTCTGCTTACCAGGCCTGGCCCTAACCAGCCACGTGACAGGGTTGGGGCCCAGGACTCTGAGTAGATTTCTCAAGGCTGCTTCTGCCCCTAGACATGAGGCTCCTTGGCTTCTAGATGGTCTAGGGTGGTAGGCCAGGCTCAGGTGACCTGGCTAGACAAGTAGGCTGCGGGTTGGGTGGCAGGGAGCTGTTTGACACCACCTTTGAAATACTGTCCTTCTGAACCAGTAACCCCCTTCCCTTCACCCACCAACTCTAGAACAACACCCTTCCAGGACCCCTCTCAGCCCTCGAACCAGCCCCCATCCAGGGCTCAGGTGTCCTCATACTCCCCTAATGACTATTCTGGAAACAAATGATCACACCTCCTGGTGTGTTTAGAGTCCCCTGTGATCCCAGAGCCCTCCTCAAATTAGAGCACAACAACTGCCGAGTCCCATTAGGCAAGGAGATGAGCTCTGGAGTAAGGACACACCCTACTGGCCCTTGACTGCATCAGGATCGCTCTAAGGGGAGGGGCCATGTCTCGCTGGCTGGCCCAGGTGCCACCTCCTGGAGGGGGCACTAACCCAGCCACCAGCTGAACCCTCACCCAAGCATTCACTAGTGCCCTGAACCTCTCTATGATTATTCAGTAAAATTACTTTGCACCAGATGAACAAAATGTAGTTCCAGTTCTCTACCAGCCTACGGTGGACACAGGGAAGTCCAATCCTATAATACCACACAGAAGACGCTGACAAATGCTTGGAGAACGTGGAGTAAACGAGATTAGCTTCAACTCAAGAAATCTGGGAAGGCTTGAGGAGGAGGTGGCAGTTACCTGGGCCTTAAAAGATGTCTAGGACTCAGGCAACTGGGTATCAGACACAGTACCCAGCAGGGGATGGTGAGGCAGGGAGACCTACAGGCAGGGTGCCTGGTGGAGGAGCATGAGAATGGAGTGTATGGGTCGAAAGAGGTAGGAGCAGACCAGATGGGGGAGGCTTGGACATTGTGATGAAGTTCCAGTGGAGAGTCCCTGAAGGCTTTTTTTTTAAATTAACCATTTGGAATCCTGAGGGCTTTTGAGCAGAAGAATGCCATTGTTGATTTAAAAGAGGCTGAGGCACAAAATATAATATGAAGAGTTTACTTGAGCAAAAGTGAAAACAGCTGCCTAAAAGACTCAGCTGCAAGTAATCTTGGATATGAGCTCTGTTTGGCCTTGGTTACAAGCAGGTTTTTAAAGGTGATAAAGGTGGACAGGGAGTGGGCTGATACGAAGTTGTTTGTCAGGAATTATCATTGGTTTGCAGAAGTAACATTGATTAGTGATTGGCTATATATATGGTTAAGCTATAGGGTGTGTGTTATAGTGTGGTGCGGCATGGTTAAGTTAATTTATAGCTACCTGTGTGTGGCAACAGCAGCAGTTTCAAGAGATGAATACGTAGCTCAAAGGGGGTGTTGGACGTGATTGTTGTCTCATTTGAAAGTCTGTCTCTCTGGGCTTGGTAATTTAAAAATACTCACATTCCTCAGATAAAAGTTTTTTTCTTTTCTCACCGAAGATTAAATCGGCTGCAGAAAGAGCAGCTTACTCTTGCCACTGCGGAAAGATGGAATGCAGTGGAACTGAGACCTTAAATGAAACCACCACCGCTACCCTACGCTAGGGAGAAGAGACGGCAGCGGGGCAGGGTTCCCAAGAGAGGCGATTCCGCGAAGGATGTGCTGAGTTTCGGGGGTGGGAGGATTGTTTATTTCTCTGCTGGAAAAGAGAAATAGTGGAGAGGTGATCTGAGCCATTTCAGCTCAGCCCAGAAATGTCTGCAACAGCACAAACTGCTAGTTTCCCACCTTGACTCGCAACACGAATAGACGACCAGACAGAGACTCTGGTTCTGCCTCATCTACCTTCTCTGCACCTCAGTTTCCCCGCCTGTAAAGGGGACGCAGGGATTTGGAGGGGGACCTTTACAGTCCCTCCTAGCTCTTTCTAAGGTCGACGACTACAGGATGGGTCCAGGTCCGGCGCTCCATCCGGCCTGCCTGGGCGCCCAGCTGTGGCGCACCGCGCCACCAAGCTGGCGCTCCGACGACAAGAGCCACTCCTGTAGCCTCTCGCCCGCGCCGGCGGCACAGAGTGTCCGGCACCAGCCCAGGGCGGTGACTGAGGGCAGGGCAGCAGGCCAGGTGTGCAGCCAGCCGGGCGCGGGCCAACGCAGGGCCTCCTCGGCTTGCCAAGGACTTGCCCGGCGGCCGCCCAGAACTCGAGCCCGGAACCGAGGACAACCGGAGCGGCATGGACCCGACCCCCCGCGAGGATTCTGCCCGGGGAGGTACTAAGGGGTGCTCCTCGAGGGGCGGGACCAGAGCTGCGGATGGCCCCGCCCAGAGCGTGGCCAGGTGCGGCGCTCGGGGTGGCGGGCGTGGGGCTTGCGGGGAATGCGCATGGCGTAAGGGGCGGGGCTGGAGGTGGGGACGCACAGGTCTCTGGGATTACGTAAGAAAACGTGGCCAGGGGCGGGGAGAGGGTGGAACTCAGGCCGGAAGTGGGCGGGGCTCCGAGCAGAGGCGGGAGGCGGAGCGTGGGCATGACGTCCCCGGCGAGGCGCACGCCGGGTAGCGGTTGCGGGTATGCTCCGCTGGGCCCGAGCCTGGAGGCTCCCCCATGGGGGGCTCTGTCCCTCCGGTTCCAGCTTCTCGAGGGTGCCCGTCGCACCCAGCAGCAGCTGCAGCCGCGAGGGCGCCGAGCCGAGGTCAGTCAAGGGCGCCGGGCGGGAGGCAGTCCTCCGCTCCTCGCTCTCCCGCCCGGCCCCTACAGCCCCACCTCGCCACCTCGGGCCCGCCCCTCCCAGGACTCTGCCTCCACGTCCCTTGTCCCTTCCCCGGCTCAGGCCCTGCCCCCGTCCTTGCCCCCTCCCGCCAGGCCGCTGCCGCTTTCCTACAAGCTTCTGGACGGGGAGTCGGCCCTCCCGGCCGTCGTCTTTCTGCACGGGCTCTTAGGCAGCAAAACTAACTTCAACTCTATCGCCAAGGCCTTGGCCGAGCAGACAGGCCGAAGGGTGAGCTTCCGAGTGGGGCGGGGTCCAGTGGGGGCGGGGCCTAGGGGGAGACCAGGGCGGAGCACTTACTTCTGGGCCCTCACTGACGAGGGCTGGCCGGTTTCAGCCAAGGTAACTCCGCATTAGAAATGAACGTAGTTCTTCCAAGGATGGAGGCCTCACTGACCCAGGCCCTAGCTGGACCCCCATTCATTCCCTCACGTTGCCATCTTCATTCATGATATAGATCCCCATTTGCCTGGTCCACACTGAGCTAAGCTTGCCTGGCCAATGCCTAGGCGCCAACACCCTGCCCATGAAGGTGCCAGCCCCAGATTGTTCACCAGGGATGACAGCGAGCTCACCACATCTATGGCAGCCCCATTCTTTTGTGCTCCGACTTTTGGAAATTCTTGGAGTCTCCTTCCTGGCTTTCCCTGGGATTGCCACCCAGCGAGGACTAACCTTCAGAGACATGGTCACACCCCTTGGGCCTTCCTCATCTCTGGCAGAGTGGCCCCAGATTCTTCATCTGGGCTTCGTAGGCCTGGGAACTGGGTCCTCTCACCATCTGGGCCCTCCCTCTCCTCAGGAACTGTCCCCAGGCTCAGGAACACCCCCGACCTGCAGTCCCTAGCAGGCCTTCAGCCATCCACACCCAGCAGTGGATGCCAGCACTGCCCTGTCTCACCCCATTCCCCAGGTGCTGACAGTGGATGCTCGGAACCATGGCGACAGCCCCCACAGCCCGGACATGAGCTATGAAGCCATGAGCCAGGATCTGCAGGGCCTCCTGCCCCAGCTGGGCCTGGTGCCCTGCGTCCTCATTGGCCACAGCATGGGAGGAAAGACAGCCATGCTGCTGGCACTACAAAGGGTGAGCTGCCCCTGTCTGGGGCCTTCTCCCATCCAGTATACACCCTGAGTGCTCAGCAGCACACCTAGGACTCAAACAAGCCTTGGATGGCCAAGTTCAGGCTCTGGAAACTGTGCCTGAGACCTACTGTGTCTGCCCTGAGACTGGTCCCCAGTCCAGTTCTTTTCCACAGCCAGAGCTGGTGGAACGTCTGGTTGCCGTAGACATCAGCCCAGTGGAGACCACATCCAGCTCAAACTTCGAAAGCATTGTGACAGCCATGAGGGCCATAGACATCCCAGATGAGATGCCCCGCTCCCACGCCCGAAAACTGGCCGATGGGCAGCTCAGCTCTGTTGTCCAGGTGATTCACCCAAGCCCCCAGATAGTGCTGTAGACTGGAACCTGTCGAGGGAAGAGTAGTAGACCCAGGCCTCACAAGGATCCCCCCCTAACTGCCAGGCCCCCACAGGACATAGCCGTGCGGCAGTGGCTGCTCACCAACCTGGTGGAGGTAGGTGGGCGCTTCATGTGGAGGGTGAACTTGGATGCCTTGGCCCAGCACCTGGACAAGATCATGGCTTTCCCACTGCAACAGGACTCCTACCCCGGGCCAACCCTCTTCCTCCTTGGTGGAAACTCCGAATTTGTGCAGTAAGCCAGCCTGGGCAGTGGGAGGGGCATACCTTACCCACCCCCAACCTGGGGAGCCTGCCCGGGGTGGCTTGGGCATAGGCAGGGGGTACCTGAGAGCCCAGAAATATCACTGGGCATGAGGGCTCACGCAGCTCTCCATCTCTGCTTTTCTCTCTCTCTCCCTCCTCCCACTTGCACTTTTTCTGGATGGCCTTCCCTGGGGTGCACAGTCCCAGCCACCACCCTGAGATCATGCGGCTCTTCCCTCGGGCCCAGATGCAGACCGTGCCTAACGCTGGCCACTGGGTCCACGCTGACCGCCCGCAGGACTTCGTGGCTGCCATCCGAGGCTTCCTGGTCTAAGACTTGCTGGCAAGAGAGGCACGAAATCCCAGGCTTCAAGTCCCTGCAGCCTGCTCCGCATTTGGACATAGAAGGACTCAGGCGGTCACTGAGGGCATGAGGGTGTGGGGGTGGTCAGACCTCAGACTTTAATGAATAAAGACACTGCTCCCAGAGTTCCGGGCTGAGCTCTCACCACCAACGTCCCCGTCCCCGGGGGAATCTGGCCCAGGGGGTCCTGGCAGCTCCAGGGTCTGCGTGGGCTTCCAGAGCACCCCTGGACTCTCTCTGCAGCTGACTCTGCACCCGCTGCCGCACCAGCTGCTGCATGTCGTCCTGCGGGCAGGAGAGCAGGTTCAAGGCCAATCTGCGGCCTCCTCCCCACTCCTCCCAGGCCCTGCCGGCATTCCCACCCTACCTCCCAGGCCTCCACCTCCTGCCTCAGTCTCAGTTTCTCTGCCAGGACCTCCAGCAGCTGGGCCTCCACAGCGCGAAGCCTGGCTTTGCATGTATCCAGCTCGGCCTCCACTGCCTGCTTCCTGCAGGTGGCAAGGAGAGCAGCCTGAGGCTTGGGCCCTCAGGATGGGCAGGTGTGGCCACAACCCCTGCCTTAGTGACAGGCCAGGTGTTTGTGTGGCTTTTCTTCCACAATGCCCAACTTCCCCTCCCCTCTTCCAGCAGGACAGGGCCCTGGGAGGGAGCCCTCTGCCACCCTCCCAACCCCTGCAAGCAGCTTCGTCTCACTTAGCAATGGCTTCATCCCGTTCCTGGAGAACTTGGTCCAGGGAGAGCTCTGTCTGGCTGTCCCCCAGTGCTCCAGCCACTTGGGATTCTGGGCTCTGTTGTATCGTGGCAGAGGAAAGGGCTCGGATTTGCTTGGATGTGTCCCACTCTGGGCCCTTCCACCCTGGCCTTGGCCTTGATGGTGATGTCAGGAGAGGAGGGGGCCGTGGCGTTCTAAACCTGCCCCCTAGTGCCCCAGTCTCGGGAACCTCTGCGAAGTAGAGCGGGAGGACCTGGGCCAGGCAGAGGAGAGAGCAGGTGTGGCCCCTGCCTGGCCTCAGGACAAGCAGAGTGAGCAGGGTGTTTGGACCCCCAAGGAGGAAAGGATTTCTCACCGGATCTTCAGGAAAGGACAGGTAGGTGGATTCAGAAGGACACTTACCCCTTGAGGGCCCCGGACACAGAGGGTGGCCTGGTGACTGGGACTGTTGTCAGCAGGGTGGGGCAAGTGAACGACAAGGCCCTTTGCCCTCCCTTCCAGGCAAGGCACTCCCTGGCAGGCCCCGCCTGCAGCAGGCCAGCCCAGGGTAAGGAGGAGGCCGTTGCACCCTGGAAGCCTCTGGCCAGGCCAACAGCAAACTCGGCCCCTTCCTGCCCATTCACAGGCTTCTCTTCACCCCAGGGGGTGCTCTGCCCACAGCCTGTGATCTGAAAGGAGGGACAGAGCCAGGTTTTGGCCCCAAACTGTTACCATGCTGAGAGATACAAGGTGACCCAGCCCCCCATCCTGAAGGGTTGGCATCCTGGTACTTTGAATGGTATCATCCATACATATAACTATAACTTGTGGCCGGGCACAGTGGCTCACACCTATAATCCTAGCACTCTGGGAGGCTGAGGCGAGAGGATCACTTGAGGCCAGGAGTTCCAGACTAGCCTGAGCAAGAGCAAGACCCCATCTCTACAAAAAAAATAGAAAAATCAGCCAGATGTGGTGGTGCATGCCTGTAGTTCCGGCTACTCAGGAGGCTGAGGCAGGAGGATCGCTTGAGCCCAGGAGTTTGACGTTGCAGCGAGCTATGATGACACCACTGCACTCCACCCAGGGCGACCAAGAGAGACTCTGTTTCTCTGAAAAAAAGAAAAAAAGAACCTCACCTCAGCAGAAAGCAAGGAAAAAGTTTATTCCTGGCAAATTCGTCCTAACCCTCTTTTTTTTGTTTTTTGAGACAGTCTCACTCTGTCGCCCCAGGTAGAGTGCAGTGGCATCATAGATCACTGCAACCTCAAACTCAGCTCAAGCAGTCCTCCTGCCTCCCTAGTAGCTGGGACTACAGGTGAGTGCCACCACACTGGGCTGATTTTTCTATTTTTTGTAGAGATGGGGTCTCACTCTTGCTCAGGTTGATCTCAAACTCTTGACCTCAAGCGATCTTCCTGCCTTGGCCTCGCAGAGTGCTAGGATTAGAGGCGTGAGCCACTGCGCCCAGCCTGTCCTAACGTCATGAATACCCATCCTACCTACAGTATTGCTCGTAATACTTACAGTATTCCCAACTTTCTGATCCAAGAGGACGGGTAGGTCTGCTGTGCCCTTGGGGTTCTCAGTATCCCACACCTCCCTCACGGTGATCGCCACCTTCCACAGGCACTCTGAGTACACCAGCAACATGAACTCGTGAAAGGGAATCTTCTCCATCGAGAGGCTTTTTCAGCAAGGTTATGTCTTGAGGATTAGGGCCTCAACCCAGCCCCCAAAACAGTAAATGCTTCCTGCAAGACCCCTCAGGAAGCCCCTTGCAATGTTGGGTCCCACTCAGCCAGGTGTGCTTCCAGCAGCTGGGCTCGACAGTTTCTTCAGTTGAACCCCAGGTGAAGAGACGGGCTTGAGTTGTACCCCACATATACCCTCTTTGTTGAGATTCACGCGATGTGTTCTGAGAAGCCGCTCTGTGCCAGGGCCCAGACGGGACCCCTGCTCCCAGGGACCTCAGAGCTAGCAGGATGAAGCATAGTTATAATCATAAAAGGGCGGCAGAGGGTCTGGGGGCTGTGGGAGCACAAAAGCCCCTGACACCCAGGCAGTCAGAGGGGATTCCTCAGGAGCTCGTCCAAGATCAATTCTGCAGGCCACCAGGAGTCAGCCTGGAGAAGGGCCAACACTCCTGCCAGGCATTTAACTTTTTATTTTGAAACAATTTCAAACTGTTCTTCAATGTCCAAAAATAAAATAACCTTTTAGAGTAAAAACAAATCTAATATGTTATCAAACATTGTACTCGGTTGTCACATTTCTCTTGTCTCCCTCAATCTGGAACAATTTGCAGCCTTTGAGTTTCATGACCTTGACATTTCTTAAGATTACAGGGAAGTTATTTTGCAGACTATCCTTCCATTTGGGTTTGTCCAATCCTTCCCTGTGATTAGGCCGCTGTAATGCATTTTGGGCAGAAATACCACAAAAATGATGCTGTTTGCCTTATTGTAGCCAATGCCGATTGGAACCATGGCTGTGTTAATGTTGATCACTTGATTAAGATGCTTAATTAAGGAAGGGGAGATGCTTCGAGACTATGAAACATCCTTTTCCTCGTTCCACTTTTCACCCACAGGCGCCAGCATCCATTGATGTTTCTTGCCCAGTTGAATGATTATTACAATGGTTTGCAAATGGCAATTTTCTAATTTCATCATTTTTTTCTACATTTATTAGCTGGCATTCTATTGTAAAGAACTTTTCTTCACCTCCACTTATTTGTCCATTTACTTATATCAGGTGGATGTAGGGTTTCCTATTTTATTCCATGGATTTTGGTCCATTCCTATCACTTATTTTGATGTTCAAATTATCCCAGATTTGGTCAGTGGACGCCCCATGCTGGCCTCTTGTTTTGACACACCGCTTTGTTCTTTGAACACTTCCTTTCTTTCTTGGTCAAGATATTTTAGGCTCAGGCCGGGCGCGGTGGCTCACGCCTGTAATCCTAGCTCTCTGGGAAGCCGAGGCGGGTGGATTGTTTGAGCTCAGGAGTTTGAAACCAGCCTGAGCAAGAGCGAGACCCTGTCTCTACTAAAAATAGAAAGAAATTAATTG